AATAAACTTCAGAAGGAGACAGTCAATTAAAATGCACCTCAGGCTTTATTTTCAAAGTATGTGAAACTGTGGAAATACTATATTGCTTGAACTCCAACAATTTCAGGCTTTATTTAAAAAGTATTTGAAACTGTGGAAATACTTACATTGCTTGAATACCAACAATTTCAGTGACCTTTATGCCTCCCTTTGTGTTCACATATTGCCTTACAAATAAAGAACTGCAAATATCTGGAATATAAATAAGGTAGCATCAAGTTCGTAAGCAAGAACAACTCTCCCCTGCTCCCCAAAACTGAAGGAAGTTTAAGCGCTGTAATGAAAGAACTCTGCAGCACCTCTTTCAGTATATGCTAAAGAATAAGCACTGATGATCTGCATCACATATAATACCATCAATCAGAAAATGGGTGAGGAGCCGCATCACTACTTTCTCAATTACATTCTTTTATCAATGGTACAATGTCGTAAGATAAATTGAAATAGTTATTTGCACATAGTACAAAAATATAACCCTTCATAAAGATTATACTGTGCTAGGAATCATGAATTGAACTTAAAAATCACTATACAATATTTTATATTGAATTATGTGCAGAGATAGGTACACTCAGCCAAATGAATGCAATTACATTTTCTCTAACTTGAAGGAAAACATGCAAAAAGCAGTTTATTACTTTACAGTATACATACTTCACACTTCAGGTGAGAGCTGTGAGCAAACTAAATTTCTCAAGTTTTCTTTTTGCTACTGTTCTTTATCCTCAAGCACGGTAGTTTTAAAACCAAATGATAAAATGAATTTTGGAGAGTTGCATTCATTAACAGTTACAGAATAGTGTTACTAAGACAATCAGCCTAAGGCATTATGATTTCCACAACAGACACATGAAATCACAGGCAAAAAAATAATTTTAAAAGGCAGCTATGAGCTTAGCTATACCACCAGATTTATTCTTTTAATATGCTCTTGACAATATGTTACATTGACTAACATGGCTACTATTTGTTCTTCCAGAACAGCAGAACATAAAACAAGACCTTGGAATTGTTATATACTCAAGAATGCCTCCCTACATAAAAAAAAGTTTAAAAAAAATTCTCCCATCATCCCTCAATTTTAAAGTAGAGAAAAAACCAACTCACTTTCAAGAAAATTCTTGTACAAATTTCCAACATGCATACAGTAAAAGTCTATTAAACTGTTTTTGGTGGGTTTGTGGGGGTTTTTTTGTTTTGAGGTTTGTTTTGTGGTTTGTTTTTTAAGTATTTCTGACAAGTTCATTTCCTTTTACTGTTTTCTTACTAGAAAGGCCAAAGTGTGCTGAAAATGTTCAGGCAACGGTTAGGACAAAACTGTCAGTGGCTTCGTAGAGCTGAATTTATGAACAACCTTAGCAACATTAGAATAATACACAAGATCGGAGTAGAGGGGCAGAATCACCTCCCTCAACCTGCTACTCATGCTTCTTTTGATGCAGCTCAGGATACAGCTGGCTTTCTGGGCTCTAAGTGCACATTGCCGGCTCATGTCCAACTTTTCATCCACCAGTACCTCCAAGTCCTTCTCCACAGAGCTGCCCTCAACCCCTTCATCTACCAGCCTGTATTGATACTGTGGGTTACCCTGACCCATGTGCAGGACCTTGCACTTGGCCTTGTTGAACCTCAATAGCTTCCTATGGGACCGTTACTCAAGCTTATCCAGGTCCTTCTGGATGGCATCCTGTCACTCAAACATGTCAACCACACCACTCAGCTTGGTGTCGTCTGCAAACTTGCTGAGGGTACATTCAATCCCGCTGTCTATGCCATTCATGAAGATATTAAATACTGGTCGCAATACAGATCCCTGAGGGACACCACTTATCACCAACCTCCAACCAGACACTGAGCCACTGACAACTATCCTCTGGAAGCAACCATCCAACCAATTCCTCATCCACCAAACAGTCCATCTATCAAATCAGTATCTCTCCAATTTAGACAGAGGGATGTAGGGAACCATGTCAAAGATCTTACAGAAGTCCAATGTGGTGGGTAGACCCTGGCTGGAGATCAGGTGCCCCCCAAAGCTATTCTATCACTCCCCCTTCTCAACTGGACAGGGAGGAGAAAACATAACGAAAGGCTCATGGGTCAAGATAAGGACAGGGAGAGATCGTTCACTAATTACCATCACAGGCAAAACAGATTCAACTTAGAAAAAATTAATCCAATTTATTATCAAGCAAAACAGAGCAATGAGAAATAAAAACAAATCTTAAAACACCTCCCCCCCGCCTCTCCCTTCTTCCTGGGCTCAACTTCACTCTCCATTTCTCTGTCTCCTCCCCACAGCGGCACAGGGGGAGGACTCCTCACACTCTTCCCCTGCTCCAGCATGGGGTCCCTCCCACAGGAGACAGTCCTCCACAAGCTTCTCCAGCGTGAGTCCTTCCCACGGGCTGCAGTTCTTCACATACTGCTCCAGTGTGGGTCTCTTCCACGGGGCGCAGACCTTCAGGAACAGACTGCTCCAGCGTGGGTCCCCCATGGGGTCACAAGTCCTGCCAGAAAACCTGCTCTGGCGTGGGCTCCTCTCTCCATGGGTCCACAGGGCCTGCTAGGAGCTTGCTCCAGCACGGGCTTCCCATGGGGTCACAGCCTCCTTGAGGTGCATCCACCTGCTCCAGCATGGGGTCCTCCAGAGGCTGCAGGTGGAATTTCTGCTCCACCATCATCCTTCATGAACTGCAGGGGGACAGCCTGCTTCACCATGGTCTTCTCCATGGGCTGGAGGAGAATCTCTGCTCCGGGGTCTGGAGCACCTCCTCCCCCTCCTTCTTCACTGACCTTGGTGTCTGCAAAGTTCCTCCCATCTTCTCACTCTTCTCTCTGGCTGCAAAAGCCCTTGCTCCTTTTTTTTTTTTTTCCTCCCCTTCCTAACTATGTTATCCCAGATGTGCTACTACCATTGCTGATGGGCTCAGCCTTGGCCAGCAGCGGGTCCGTCTTAGAGCTGGCTGGCATTGGCTCTGTTGGACACGGGGGAAGCTTCTAGCAGCTCCTCACAGAAGCCACCCCTGTAGCCCCCGCCCCTCCCAAATACCAAAACCTTGCCGCGCAAACCCAATACATCCAGATAGACAACATCCATGGCTATTCCCATGTCCACTGATGTAGTCACTCCATCATAGAAGGCCACCAAATTGGTCAAGCAAGACTTGCCCTTGGTGAAGCCATGCTGGCTGTCTCAGATCACTTCCCTGTCCTCCATGTGCCTTAGAAGAGCTTCTAAGAGGATCTGTTCCATGGTCTTCCCAGGCACAGATGTGAGGCTGAGCGGTAGTTCCCAGGGTCCTCCTTTCTACTCTTTTTAAAAATGGGTGCAATGTTTCCCTTTTTTACAGTCACCAGGGACTTCACCTGATCGCCATGATTTAATCCCCTAAGATTTTCACTGATCTGCAGTCAAAAGTTTGGGTCTTACCTGCGTGTAGTGCAGCGGGTTGAATGGATTTTCCTGTGCCTTACATTCTAACTTCAACCTTGAAGTCATTGATTTCGCTGTCAGTATAGTGACCAGCCCAGAAGTTTTCCTCATCTAACGCAGCTGCCTGTAGTTACCTCCTCTGTCTTAGGGCCCAAAAAGCAGAAATATTGTTAGACTGGTTCTGTGCTGTTTAAGTCTGAACTTTTGCAGTGTTGCAATTTTCTTCCTGTCATTCACTTACTGAACTTTAGTGAAACACTTCCTCAGAAGACAATCACATAAGTTATGCACATTAAACTAGGCAGAAGTATCTATCTCACATTCCAGTAACTCAATGAGTAACAGTCATTTCCTCTATTTAATTTAAAATTATAGTAAATAATTTCAATTGAAATGACAACTACAAACATGACAGCTATATAGCATATTAAAAATAGGAACTATAGTGAATTACTCGTTACTGTTATTTAATCATTGGCTTCCTGCACCACATGTAAATTTTTTACTCAATAAAAAAATTTTCTAAGCTGCTACCTACAATCCAGACATAAAAATGACAGAAAATTGGGGAAAAGAGTTTGGAATAACAAACTCTGTCTGAAGCACTGACGGTCTTCACTGAAGTATTTAACTCTCCACACCTTGGGGGCAGAAGAGGTTACAACTATCTTTGGTCTTGTTCCACATGTGCTAACATCGCTAAATGATTGGCAATATCTGGGTTCAGGATTTTTCTGTAAAGACCTAAAAACAGCCTTCTACTCCTTTTGCATGACTGGTTAAATGATCAAGTAACACAAACAAACTTAAACCATCTTGTGTGGTTTTAGTGTTCAGTTCCAATCACAATTACCTAAACATGTTGCAGGACAACCGTGGTAGGCAGCTAAGCACCCTACAGCCACTAGCTCACTTCCCCCACACTCCCCCACAGTGGGAGAGGGAAAGGAGAATGGAAGAATAAAAGCAAGAAAATGCATGGATCAAGATAAAGATAGATTAACAAGAAAAGGAGAAGTGGAAGAAGAAAAAAAGAAAACAAAAAAGTGATGCAAAGGCAATCACTCAAAACCTCCCATGGGTAGACTGATGCCCAGCCAGTTCCCCCCCCCCCAAAAAAAAAAAAAAGATGGCCAACCTCCCTAAAACCCCTCCTCTTCATTTTATTGCTCAGCATGACCATTATATGGCATGGAATATCTCTGGTTAGTTCAGGTCATTTGTCTGGTTGTGTACCCTACTAACCTCTTGCACAGCCACAATCTACCCACTAGGAGAGCAGAGCAAGAAACAGAGAAGGTCTTGATGCTGTGCAACTACTGTTCAGGAATAGCTAAAACATTAGTGTGTTATCTTCATTGTTTTGGTCACAAATCTAAAACATATTACCATATGAACTGCTATGAAGAGAATTAACTCCATCCCAGCCAGAGCCAGTACACACACATACATCATATATTAAATGATACATGGTAGTGTAAAAAAGAGTTCCAAGAGATTAAAAGAAAAAAACACATGGTTTTGTTTAGTGGTTTACTGTTTTGCCTTCTGGCAGACGAAAGAAGTTGTCTTCTTTAAGTTTAAGATGTTCTGGTAAATCTAGCTGTCGTTTTGCCTCTTCAATGTCTTCTTGAATTGCTGAAATGAGTGACTCTGCAAAAGAGAAGTTTTAAAAAAAGCAATATTTAAAGTTGGTCTGAATTCTGAACACACAATAGCAAATGAAAAGGGATGTGCTACAGAGCACCAGAAAACAATCACAGAGGCAGAATATATTTATTATTATGAAGTTGGAAAGGCAAGATTCTCTGTCTCTAACACCACATGCTTTTGACATGTATTCCACTTTTCACTGCTGTAAACACTACTTTTTCCTTGTTCCAAGACATTTTATCAAACAAGTCAACAGAATTTTATTCATTGTTTCAGTTTTAGCACAGATGCATCATTTTTAAAAGAAATGGACAGACTAGACCAATGCTTTTACAACAAGCTCATGATTTTCAAGCTACTGCTCAGATGACTGACATGACAATGTAATTTTTAGACTGAAATAAATATTGATAGTCTGGAAGTTGTGGGGGTTTGGTTGTTTTTTTTAATACGACTGATTTACGTATTAGTAGACTCAGCTAAAAGAAACATTTTACTGAAAAGTCAAAGGTAAGACATAGAAACATAGAATACCTCGAGTTGGAAGGGACTCATAAGGATCATTGAGTCCAACTCCCTGCTCCTCGCAGGACTGCCTAAACTAAACCATAAGACTAAGAGCATCATCCAGATGCTCCTTGAACTCTAAGAGGCTTGGTGCCATGACCACTGCCTGGGGAGCCTGTTCCAGTGACCAACCACCCTCTCAGTGAAGAGCCTTTTCCTAATGTCCAATCTGAACTTCCCCTGGTACAGCTTCATTCCATTTCCTTGTGTCCTATCACTGGTCACCAGAGAGGAGATCAGCAGCTCCCCCTCTGCTGCCCCCCTTGAGGAAGTTGTAGACTGCGATGAGGTCACCCCTCAGCCTTCTCTTCTCCAAGCTGAACAAACCAAGTGACCTCAGCCACTCCTCGTAAGTCTTGCCCTTGATGCCTTTCACAATCTTGGTCACCCTCCTCTGGACACACTCTAACAGTTTGATGTCCTTCTTATACTGAGGCGCCCAGAACTGCGCACAGTACTTAAGATGGAGCCACACCAGTGCAGCGTAGAGTGGGACAATCACCTCCCTCGAATGGCTGGCAATGCTGTGCTTGATGTATCCCAGGACACGGTTGGCCCTTTTGGCTGCCAGGGCACACTGTTGACTCATTCAAGTCAAACCCTCAGATCTCTTTCTGCGGGGCTGCTCTCCAGCCTCTCACCCCCCAATTTTTATGTATAACCAGGATTACCCCATCCCAGGTGCGGAATCCAACACTTGCTCTTGTTAAATTTCATGTGGTTGGTGACTACCCAGCTCTCTAGTCAGTCTCAGGTCAGTCTGTAAGGCTTCTCTGCCCTTGAGAAACAGCTACATGAAACAGCTGATTATGAAGACAGAGAGACAACAATGACGCAGTACTTCCAGTATGCAAGAACCTGACAAATAAAACATTAGTTTAAGAGACCTGCAATACTGACCTAAAGAACTGAAGTTTCTTTCTGATCGAATATACCCAAGAACGACTATACTAAGAATCTCTCCATAAAAGTCATCGTTAAAAGTGTGGATAATGTGTGCTTCCTAGAAGAAGAGAAATAAGTTGATAATTATCATGATGCATTTTGAGTTTATTTCCCTTGTTGCAAGGATGCTGAGCTAATACCTCTAATTTGAATTCTCTCCCACACATACCAGGAAAATGGAGACACTTTGTCTAACATGTATTATGCAAGATTAAGAGGCTAGAGCTTTTGATTACGTTAGTACGGAGAATTGTACTTTGCATGGCATTTAGAAATATTGCGATATTTATTTCAAAGGTAAGACTTTCAAGGCAGAAAATCACAAATAATGTACAGATTTGTTTGATCATTAAGTTGCTGAGTCCAAATAACTGTAATGAATTTGATTCAAACAATTGTTTTAAAGAGAGCTTTTACAAGGAACTCACAGGAACTGAATAATAAAATTCTAAAAGGAGTGAAAAGAGCTATCTTCAAAGCAGGGATTCATGTCAAAATAAAACTGCTTCCAAGTATTAGCAATTAAAACCAAGTTCTGCAAGAGTCAGGAAAAGCACTAGCACCTGACAGCAAGAAAAGCATAGATGCCACCATTCAGTATTTTAACTCTGCCTTGTTACTATTTACTTTTGGATCTTCATTCTTATATTCAGCCACAGCACCACATGTATGGATTCCACCATTTAAAAGAAGAATTACTGAAAAATCATTACAGATTAAGATACCCCAGAATATCATACTTTAAATGTGGATGGATTGCAGAGGATGAGAGATTATTATGTTCCAGCTTATTCTATATGTCTCATAACCACTAAATTGAATACATCTATTAAGCTTATGTTTATCTAGGTATCAGCACACTTTGGACATACGAATTTTGATTTCATAAGTATTTAAGTAATGGTGAAAGAGGCAAATGAAAAGAAATTTTATCTATCTACAGCTGAATGCTTTATGGCTACTGAGAGGTTTTTTGGAAGATTTTTTTTCTTGTCTGGAATACAAACACTTGAGATAGATATAAAATAGATTTATAACAGCAAAAGGAATTTCTAACCTCATTTATGGATCAAATTCTGCTTATCCTATTCAAAGTAAATGTCTGGTTCATTTATTATAATCAAAGTACCACACAAAGTAAAGTTCTTACCACTGATTTCTTAATATTCTTATAGAAAGGATTCCATCCTATGCTCAAAACCATTTTATGCACATCGCCATTTCCAACACAGGCCCATCCATAGTATACACCAGTAGAGATATCGGATGGAAAGCTTTCGACTACTTCCTCAGAAAAGTTAGCTGCAAAAATTTTAGAAAGCGTACATTTGTGTAAGTAAAGCACATCACAATTCTCAAACACCTAAAAGCCAAGCTCTGTCTACATGCTATTTACGTGCAGAACACTGATGATCATAGTGATGCAATGTGCCACTTACAAAGTATAAACCACAAAACAGCCTCATAAATTGTAGTCTCTGTGGTAATACCAGAGTTACCACATATCCACAGGCTATTTCACAGTTATATACACTCTATTCTATAGTTAAATAGTTAATTCTATAGTTAATAAACTAAAATATGCAGCCTAAATGCATTTCACTATTAGGATTACCACTGCTTTACTATGGTTCAAGAACAGAAAAATCAAGTTTCTTTTGCACTGTAAAGTAACATCTCAGAATTACTTGGGGTTTTTTTTTTAGTACATAAAGTATGTAAAAATAAATTCGGTTATGATTTTAGTCACTTGCCAATAAGAATTAGTTACATAAATTTTTTTTAGTACACATAATATGTAAAAATAAATAAATAGGTTCCTTTCTGACTGAGGGGAATAAATCTAAGCCTTTAGCCAAACAACTGTCCTACTTCTACTTCAGACATGGGTAGAGTTCTTCATGCAAGGTTTCAAGCTGATTTTAAAGAATTTACAGTTAGTGGATTTCTATCCCAGTTCATAAGCAGAAAAAACTTACCTCCCACATTCCCAGATACCAATAAGCCATATATAAACAATCAAGGAAAAAACCCCTAAGTTTATATGAACAGATGATGCTACATGTCCAGTATCTCAAGATTTGTTATGGGAAGTTTTCTTGCCTATTACGAATTGTGCAAAATGCCCACTGACTTCAGCCTGTCTTTAGAAATGACTGAAATTTGAATGACACCTCTATCTGTATTCGAACAGGTCAAACAGACAACAGCAATGGGAAAATATTCTTCTCTCTAGGACACCTGCACTTGCTCTGCTTTTTAATCTCTGCATTATTCACTTCACGTTTCCTTCCTTAAAGCTACTCCCAATGTCTGCTTTCTTGTCCTAATCTGAGGTCCAACAAGTTTATAAGAAGGGACGTTTTTCAAACGGCCATATCACATCACAATACACAGAGCGTATGATCACCTTTCAGCATCTTGCAAATCATCATGTTCATTATCAGATGAGCTAACTAACAAAAAACCAAACCGAAAAAAATCGTTTAACAGCAGGTTGGAAAATAACACAAACGAGTGAACAAGGCTGTAAGGAACATTAAAAAAAAAACAAAACCCACACCAAAAAAACTATCGCGGAACAAGGCAAGCCTATTCACAGAAAGAGCAAGTCACGCCAATAGCGCCGTGGTGCGGGACAGCTGGGCGCCTCCCGACTCCAAACGGCCTCAGTCACCCGCCACCGAGCTCCCGCACCCCCAG